TTGTCTGGATTCCCTGAGCTCTGGCCTGGAGCAGAGAAGCTCTGAGGCGCCCTCTTGTTTCCTCCACACCCAGAGTACCTGTCAGGAATTGCTGCACCCTGGGGGTGAGGGAGAGGGGAAAGGAGGGGTCCGGGCCGGGCTGCGCAAACATGAGCTGCCCCGCTCCGCCAGCGGGGCCCCACTGCCAGCCGCAGGGGCCACACCTCTTCCTCCGGACTCCTCAGCCCGCCTGGCGCGGCGGCAGCCTTGGGAAGTGACAGGGCGGTGGCAGGGATGGGTGGCTGCAGGGCTGGCCCCAAATCCAGCCAGCTCCCCCTGGGCCCTGAATCCCAGATCTGGACTACAGGAGACCCAAGCGGGGTAGCCTCGGTTTCCCCATCCGAAAAGTAAGCGGCCATGAAAAAAATCTGACCCAGAACCTGGAAAAGCTCTGAGGACAGAACTGTGAGGAGGAGGAGGATTCCTATTAACACAGTTACCGGAGGCCGACGTCCCGGCAGCGCTGAGAGGCCGCGCTGCTCGGCTATTTCACCTTCACCACAGTCCCGCCCAGGAGTCCCAGCCCACAGACAGAAACAGGCTCAGAGGTCTAACGTCACTCGCTCGAGGGCCTGCAGTGGCCAGAACTCCCATCATAACACCCCCTCACGGAAGCCGGGTGCCGTCCTGTCTCATGGAGGGGAAACAGGTGCTCAGAGACCAGGAGCAACCTGCCCCAGCCACACAGCCACGCGCTGGAGGGCAGGGACCTGACCCCCCGGGGGGAAGCCGGGAGCTGCGTCCTTAGGTGGACGGCTGGCTCGGCGCTTCGCAGAGCAACGGGGAGAGGCGGGGAGTCAGCGGTGGTTCCCTCAAGAAACGATAATAAACCCAACCTGGGAACCCGAGTGCTGTTCCTGCCCAGACTCTCCCAATCAGAGCGCTAACAATCTCAACAATAACGACGACAGTAATAGTAATGGCCAGAGCGCCCTCCATTCCTCGGTTCCTATCCCGCCCTGTCCTGAGAGGAGGCCAGGGGTCCAGGGTCACCTCACTGTGCGCATCGCTGTGCCAGGACAGACCCCCAGGTGGCCTTGGTCACCGCCCACCCTCTAGGCGTGTGGGGGGCTTTCCTCCGCCGGCCCTCGCCGGCCTCGGAGACGCTGGCTGCTACTATTTCCGACGGGGGAGGGCAACGCGGTTACTGAGACCGGGGGCGCCAGGACCTCCGGCGTCTCCAGGGTGAACGCTGTGGAGACCGACCCCAGGGACTTGCAGGCGCTTCCCCGGAGCCCCGACTCCCCCCACCACTACGGGGGCCGCCAGACCCTCAGGGGCCCCCGACACTCACCCGCAGACAAGGGCCCGGCCCTCTCGCCCGGCAGCAGAGGAAGGCTCACCCGCGCGCGAGCCCCGCCCGGCCCCTCGCCCAGCCCGCAGCGTTTCTAGGTGGCCCGAGGCTCCCCCGCCGGCCCCTCCCTTCCTCCCTCCCCGGCCCCGCCTCTTCCCCTCTCCGGGCCGCGCCGGCCGCCCCCGCCTGGGTCCGGGCCCCCGCCAGAGAGTGAGCTCCCCGCGGCCGGAGATGTGCAAGCAGCGCCTTCCCAGCGCCGGCACAGGGCGTTGCGCAGCGCCGGTCCCACGTGTGTTCGACCAAGAAATGATTGAAGGGGACAGGGAGGCGGGTGGAACCCAGTAGTTCTTCGGGTCTCTGTAGGGCGTTCGAAGATTCCAGAACCCGAACACCTGTCCTGAGCCCACTGACGTCGGATGTCGCGGGCTGGCATTCGGAAACGTTCTGGAAGTTGCGGGGCGGATTTGAAGATTCTTGGGGTTGGTGAAGATTCGAATCCTGCCCTGTGCTGCATCTGACTCTCCAGAAGTTTCCAGCCTTGACGCACTGGGGTCAGGAGCCTGGGGTGGAGGAGATCCGAGTCCACAGGGGTGAGCCAGGCGGTGGTTTGAGCCACCCCTTCCTCTTTCATCCCTGTTTCTTCCCGAGGAGGAAAAGGAGGCAGGTCCTGGTGGTGCCTCAGTTTCCTCATCTGTCAAATGGAGGCGCTCAGCCCCGGCTCCTCCAGCTAGGAGAGGTCAGCGCAGAAGGAGTGCAGGATGGACACTGCGGGTGTGGAGGGCCATTGCAGGAGATGTCGCTGCATCGATTGGGGACACTTGAGGCCGCGGTGGCAAGCGCACCTGCTGCCGCACACACTCAGACTTCGGAGCCTGTTGAGGCCGATTCTCCCCTTGCGAGTGTCAGCGCCTCGGCTGAAGTTCAAGACCCTTGAGTGCTCCGTGGGGCCCCCAGAGTTTCCTGAGTTCACGGGCACGTGAAGGAGCCAGAATGAGACGCCGCTCCAATGGCTGGGGCCCGCCCATCCCTCACGCCAGGCCTAGGCCCCCTCCTGTGTCCTCATTGGGGCCCGCCCATCCCTCACGCCAGGCCTGGGCCCCTTCCTGTGTCCTCATTGGGGCCCGCCCATCCCTCACACCAGGCCTGGGCCCCTTCCTGTGTCCTCGCCTAGAAACTGGAACCTTGCGGCAGCCTCATCCGGAGCTCAGAGCACTGGGAGGGGACTGCTCAGTGGAGGAAGTGAGCTCGAGACACGCCGAGCCTGCTGCTGGGGGAAACTGAGGCTTGCCAGGTCAGAAGTCGGAGGCACAGAGACCACCGGAGTGGCTCCTAAAGCTTCCAGGGTGGGTTCTGGCGCCTGGCCCGGGCTCAGATCTGGACTAGAATTATCATCTGACCCAGCAATTCCGTTCCTGTCTACCTGAAAGAATTGAAAATAGGTGCTCCAGCAAATCCTTGTACACAGTGTTCAGCAGCATGATTCACGGTGGCCCAAAGCGGGGAACAGCTGAAGCGTCCATCAACGGATGATGGATGAACAGAATGTGGTCCATCCACACAGTGGAATAGCACTCAGCCATAAAGAGGACTGAAGCCCTGACTCATGCTACAATGTGGACAAACCTCAAAACCTCATGCTGCGAGAGAGAAGCCAGATGCAAAAGGCCACGCAGTGTGTGATCCCATTTACAGGAAATGTCCAGAACAAGCAAATCCAGAGAGACAGAAAGCAGGCTACTGGGTGCCAGGGCCTGGGGCTGGGGTAGGAGGGGGATGGAGAGTGACTGCTCATGGGGATGGGGTCTCCTTTTGGGGTGATGGGAATGTTCCGGAACTAGATAGAGGTGATGGTTGCACAACATTGTGAATGTGCTAGATGCCACTGAATTGTGCACTTTAAATGATTAATCTTCTGTTATGTGAATTTTACCTCAATTAAAAAAAAATCCCAATTAGGTCACTCACCAGCTGGGGGTGGCCTCTGGCCCGAGATCTAATGGCTTTGTGCCCCAAAGTGAGGTTTTGGGGCCTCCCAGGTGCAGGAGACCAGGGCATCGTAAACCGCTGAATGACAGCCCCGCCAGCCAAACGGGTGCTGCCCTCCCCCAGGGCTCAGCCTCCCCAGGTGGGCACATGGTGCACCAGCTCTGGAAGGCCAAGGCGGGCCATCAGAGGCCATGCTGGGAGGGCCTCACTCGTGACAGGCAGACAGCAATGAGAGCCCGAGGGAGGTCCCGTTTCCTGCCAAGAACCAAACCCATGTGACGCCTGGAGCCGAGGTGGGGCAGCAGACACGCCCGGCCCTTGGCCCTCGGCCTGGAGGTGGCACTCCAGCCACTCAGCCATGTGCGACCAGCAGGGGACCATCTTAGAGGACCAAAGCCACTGAGCATGCACGCACGCACACGTGTGTGCAAAGACTTGGGATGGAGGGGACACTCCACAGGACGGGACGTTTGATTCCGGCTCCTTTACAGGGCCCTCGAGCCCAGGGAACCACAGGGCCCCACGGGGGTGGCTGTGAACTTGCAGGGAGGGGCTGAGGCCCCGCAAGGCAGGGACCCCTCCATGGGCTCCGGGTCCTAGCGCTGCTCCTGCATGAGGTGGGAGCTGCGTGTGCTGGAGCCACCACTGCCTGAGTGCCCCCGTTTGACACCGCAACGCGTGCGCCAAGCTGAGGACGCTTCTAGACCTCTCCCAACTAGAGGATCCCCCGTGTCCCAGACAGGAACCTGAGGCACAGCCAGCCCCCTCTCTGGAGGACAGGGTGGGAGGATCAGAGACGGCAGGCCCAACCCTGCTCCTGCTTCCCATGCCCCATCCGGCCCCGGCCTGTCCCTGGGATCTGCACAGCCTCAGGACCAGGCACCCAAGGTCCCCACATGTCCCCCGGGACCCAGAACTGTCCATCGAGCTCAGACCTCCTCCTCACCACAGTCTGCTGTCACACCTGTCCTGGGTCCCCCTCAGGCCATCCCTTGCCCACCTGCACTGGGGCCCACCCTCCACCCCAGGCCCTCAACACACTGAAAAGGCCAGTATTGCTGAACCAGGCTCGCTGTGAAGCATGCGACCTCCCCACAGCCACCCAGTGAGTGGGGTTACAGATGAGGAAACTGAGCCCCAAGAGGTCAAGTTACTTGCTCAAAATCACATAGCCACTGGTCGCCAAGCAGGCTCTAACTCCAGTCTTTTGACTTCATAGCCTAATGGCTTTCAAGAGCTTTTTCCTGCTAACAGTGATGTCCCTACTGCCTGGAACACAGTACATGCTCAGTCAACGTCTGTGAGTCGACTAATTGCTTTCTCATGGAACCCACAACTCACCATCTCTTTGCCTGGGATGCCCAGCCCCATCTTACAAACTCCTACTCACACCTCAAAGCCCCATTTATAATGCCCCCTCCTTAGGAAGTCTTCTGACACCCCCCTCTGGGTTCCTCTAGTCTTCATCCCTTCCACCAGCCCAGCTCTGAGCCCACAGGACTAGAGGTGTCCATGGGGCTGGGGGTGTCCAGGTCTGGCTTTTTCTCCCCCAATATCGCCCTGCACAGGCTAGGGGTCGGGAAGGGTATGGGGAACGTTGCGGATATTAGCTCTCCCCCACCCATCCGTCTACTCTTCCTCCCCTCTCTGGCGATGTGAAGGACACTTCCTGGAACAGGAAAAGGCTTGTTATTTATTTTATTAGAAAATAAAGTGTTTATTCAAAGAACATTAAAAGTCCAAGGACCTGTGTGGGATGTGGCATGAGCAGGAGTGAATCTCAGGCTCGGCCAGGCTGGGCGTGGGGCTCCTCTCCTTGGGGTTGGGGCCTTAGGGGAGGCCGGGCTGGGGGTCCCCAGGGTCCGGGGGAGGGCAGGGCGCCGTCGGCGAGCACCAGGGCGCAGTGCAGAGCAGGGGCAGGGCAGGCGGCCCCTGCAGGCTCAGCAGCTCACCAGGTACATCCCTGTGGGGTGGGGCTGTGAGGGGGGAGGGAACCCTTGCCCCACCCCACCCCCAGATCTCCCAACCGTCCTCACAGCACCCCTGTAGCTCACTGTTGCCACAGCCCCATGGGCCCCAGAGGCACCTTGGGGGGGCAGGAGAATGGGGTGGGGGTGGGACTTCTTGTCCCCTCCACGGGACAGCCCCTCCTGACCCTGCCGGTGGGGCCCTGACCACCCCTCCCCACCTGTGCCCAGACACCCACATGGCCCCCCTCCCACACACACCCCAGCAGAAGCAAAGGGTGGAGTTCAGGCCCGGCGTGGTCCTGGCTCTGGCGCGAGGCAGCAGCGGGGGCAGTACCTGTGGCGAACCTCCTCTTTACCAGCGACAGGCGGTAGCCGCTGCCCACCAGCTCCAGGTCCACGCCCGACAGAGTGGCCCCCTCGCTGGTGAACTGAGCGGCCACGGGGCTGGGCATGCTGGGCCCCGAGCACGGCTCCCAGCTGGCAGACAGGTGGCCAGAGCCTGGGGAGGCCTGAGATCAGCTGGGCCCCATCCCCAGTCCCGGTCCCGCTGTGACCTGGGCTCCTCCTCCGCCCTACACCCAAGCCCTTCTATCTGTGGCCTCTGCACCCCTGCACCCTTTTCCTTTGGTCCCACAGGGGTGTGTGTGGTTTGCAAGGAACTCCTGCCTCAAGCCTTTGCACCTGCCGTGCCCGCCCCCAGCATGCCCTCTTCTCCAATTCTCCCTCGGTTTACATAAGCCCTCATGCACAACTGTAACTCACCGCCTGCCTCGGACACATCTGGAAGTTTCCATAGGAGCCGCTTCTCCTCCAGGTTCCTGGCATCAAGAGAAGCTTGGTCAAGTCTCCCCCAGAGAGGACATGGGGAGCCCAGGGTCCCAGCTCGGTCGCCTCTCCGCTATATGACCTGAGCAAGCCAGGTCCCCTCCCTTGCTTCAGTTTCCCTGTCTGCAATACCGGAGTGGGGTAAGGCGCAGCTGGCCCCTGAGGGCCGGCAGCCTCACAGCATCTTTAGGTGATGCCTTCAGTCCCGTAAGTCTGGCTTCACGGCAGGTCCCACCTTTTGTACAAACAACACAACGCGGTGTGGTGATGGGAAGCCCGGGCCTCCAGCGGATGGCAGGGTCCAGTCCAGAGAGGTCAGACCAGCACTCCACCCTAGCCTCCCCACCCTCAATCCCTCAGTAGGGACCGCTAGGAGCTCGCAGCCAGTCAGGGAGAGCAGAGCACGGGCGTCACGCCGGGCCCCCAGGGAGCTCTCGGTGTGGGACGTGGTCATTATCAGTAACGTCACCGTTGGCTGTGGGCAGGGCGGCCGCGGGGACCGGGCCGGCCTGGGGCAGACTGCAGCTGCCACACCAAGAGGCGTGCGTGGGGCTCTGGCGGCACCACCGAGCCTCCCCTGGCCTCCCGCACGCCCTCACCAGGTGGCGGCCGGCTGCAGGCGGACGTTGGTCACCGGCTCCCCCACGGGCAGCAGAATCTGGACGTTGGTGAGCGGTGTGGGCACGGCCGTGGCCCCGGGCCGGTAGCTGTACTCCACCGAGACCTGTGTGAGGGCCGCCCCGCACTGCCAGTGTGCGCTCAGCTGCAGGGGCACGGCCTGCGGCCCCGGACGCGAGAACTGGGGGAGCGGGAGGGGACGCGGCTAGGGTCATCCCGTCCCGCCGCGCAACTTTCAACCACGCGACCCTGCCTCCCACTCTCCAGCCACCTGACTCAGCCCTGCACACACTGCCCCGGGCTCTGCAGATCAGAGCCTGTATCCCCTCGAGGGCCCCACAGAGAGCAGGAGGGGCCGCCCTCTGACAGAGGCCTGAGGCCCGGCGCCGGCCATGGCCTCCGCGAGTTTGGACAACCGCGTCATCTGCCCACCTCCCTACCTCGCCCGCCTGCCGCCCCCC